AATAGTGGAAGATTCATTTTATTGAATCTTCAATGTTTAAATCAATCGAAAAACGGTCTCTTTTATATGAGCAATGTTTCAGACATTTCCCATGCAAATCATTATTAACATTAATTTGAGAAAGAGAAAAATATAAGAAATATTTGGGAATATTTGTGATTCATTACGGTAGGCTGTCATAATAAGAAATGTGTAATTTTATGTAAGCCGAATGCGTACTTATTCCAATTTTTCTTCAATTTCCTCTTTTCTTTTTTAATTTCCCGTGCGTTTTAAAATATAATTTTTCTCAAAATTGATTAAGATATGCCAGATTATTGCATTTTTTGTTATTTTTTCTATTAAATCACGAAGACAGGGGTTTTTACATAATGAAACCAATAAAAACGTTAAACAAGAAAAAAAACAGTCCACATGTCTAATGTAACATCTGTTTATAATACAAACAACAAATTGTTGTTTTCCTTGAATTAAATCCGAAATAATTTGAAGAAATATACGAGAATTCGGGATTTTTCATTGCTAACTTTCGTTTTGCATGTTTTCTTCATTTCTTGCTCCATTCGCTTGTTAGGTCAATTCTATTTTTAGATGCTGCTGAAATCCTCCTCTGCCCCCGCTGATTATCATCGAGATTTTGCATCAGCGACCCAATCAAAACCGATCTAAAAATCAACATCAAAATGGTGAAATTTAATTGAAAATCATTTCCGGTTGATATGTATAAATACCAAGGTTAATAGTTTAAATATTGTTTTCAGCTTTGAAGTTATTTTTCACAATTAAACGAAAAATTATGAATTTATCAAACATTTTATATTAAATTAATTCATTTTAAAATTTATCAAACATTTTATATTAAATTAATTCAGTTTTAGAGAGTAGGAAAATAACATTTCAATTAAGTTTTTGTAAAATTTACACAGTAATTTGAGAAGTTTTTTATTTATCGGAATACTTATAACGAAATCCTATTTACTCACATTGAGATTTTTGTTTTTCTAGGGAATTTTGGTTTGTGAACATGTACTTTTTGACAGCTTCAGAAGCTTCTCTTTTTCTTAGATAAAGGATTAAGGCATGAAGAAAACAAAGTAGACCATCAAGTGATACGCATGGGAGCACTTCTGTTATTTGTTCTTTTAGAAATTCAAAAAAAAATACCGTCTTATTTAATTTTTATTTATTTTGAAAACAACTGCGACGAGTTGAGTTTATTCAAACAGAAATCGCGCTTCTCCCTTTCATATTGTTTGTTTTATTCGCCCCATTTTCGTCTGTAGTAAAATGGTTTCAATTTTTTCAGGAAACTTCGACCAGCGCCGGCCAACAAGATAAAAAAAAACAACCACGTTCATAATATTTGTGAGTGTTTTGGTGTTTATGAAAAAGAATGAAACTTTGAAAATACAATTGGTTGAGTGGATATCACATTTCAATAACAACTCATTGCTGGTAATGATACTTATGTCAAAATGTTGGGTCCAAAAGCCTTTCAAATTTTATTCAACTCGATAACATTCATTGAGATGAAGTTAAAATACTCATTTCGGAGATTCACTTTTTTCTAATCTTCAGGTGCCATAGTAGTAAGACTACTTTTATTTTTTAAAACGACTTTTTTCTCAGAAATTGATTGCGCAAAAATTTCTAGCTTATTAAAAATTAAACGTTCGCGAATGTTTTAATGGCGATGTCCTTCGTACTTCCTTAAATTTTCAACAGGATTGGTGAATAATTGAAATAAAAGAATCACCTGGGAGCGATATATATTAAATACCTGAAAATTCTCTATTCTTTCTGTAATTCTGTGAATATAACTCAATTTTGAAACCATCTCATTCGAATTATTTCCATCTTGAAAAATCGCTTTAGATGAACTCGTAGCGCTCGCACCAGCCTTTTGCTCATATGCTCGGCGCGGTTTCACATTTCTGCCAAGTGCACTATCCTCGCTCATTTACAACTCCAAATAGTCGGGTCGAAACACACATTTATGTCTTCATTCTGTTTGACCTCAATTTCGCCTCTCATCGTTTTTTTTTTAACAAATTGAATCCAAGCGAACACAATGTTAAAAATGTAAAAAAAAAAGACGAAATTCTTTATTTTAATAAATTAAAACGCTATTAACGTTTTGTTGGCAATTATCAACCAAATAAAAAAAAACCTATTTAGCGTTTTATATGCGTGATTTCTTCATTTCTTCTAGGCGAAAATCCATTCCGAGGGGAATTCATTCAATGATAATCAGCCTAATTGTTTTTTTCGTTGATATCATCCTGACAAGAATTAGTCACATATGTAATTATCGCGTGAGCTGCATGTTGTGTCATGTCTGGATAACAAATGCCGCCAAAACAGGCTCTCATGTCATCGAATTCGGCTGAAAATAGTCGCTCTTATGTCTATTTGTTTCTTTCCAACTTTTATTAACCAATCTAAGCCATTTTTTTTCAATTTTTCGCACAAACATTTTCTGAATACGCAATTCGTTTGCATAACATTGGCGACGAAGAGAAAACAATTTGAAACAATGAAAAAGGTGGTATCGATTTGCATTTTATACGTCTATTCAAATTTCCTTTCTAAAAGGAGGTCGACTATTCAAATCCATCGAAAATCTTTTAGCAATAAGGCATTCTTTATTTATTTCGATTGTTTTCAGTAAAAAAATCAGCTGGAATCACATTAAACGATTTTCATAGAATTTGTAACCTTGTGCTTTTCAATATCTTTTTTTTACGCAATTTGTTTCTAAGCCTTGAAAATACAGTTTCGCTGCATTATTCTGAGATTGATGACATTTTGGAATGTGAAATTCCCAAACCACTTTGCAATAATAAACCTTACAAACATCAATCACTTTTAGATCAAGATTGTCTGCGTTTAAAGTGAAATTATACAGTAGAACTAGAAATACTAATAATAATTGTTGTGAAAGAAGAACGTGTTGAGAGATGAAATCATTCGATATGTTTTTGAATATAATTTCAGAATGATTATATTTTCTTCTTTGTTTCGATGCGATCTCGATTTGATCATGTCATAATGAAAAGTTAGTTGGTAGACGGAACAGAATGGAATTTGGATAGTATAATATTGACCGACGTGAGCCCCTCATCAGTTCTTTGTTCTTTTATAACGATTTGTGTCCCGAAGAGAAACTCGAACTCGGTCTACGGTCTATTTTCGCCGGTCAGCTCTGCGTCTCAAAATCGCCACAGAGTGAACCGACAAGAATTGTTTGTATGTGTGTGTGTGTTTGTCTGCCGAAGTCTCTATCTCTCTCTTTCTATCTCGCCAGCTCTTCGAGTTTTGTCGCGTCTGCGCCTCTTCGTCTCACATGGTCCCTTCGATGGGTTGGCGCGCGCGACAAAAACCGATCGACGATCAGACGAGGCGGCAACAGCATGGAATCGTCTTGTCCTCCTGCGCCACGACGTAGGCATCGCCGATTTCGCACCCGCAGAAATCGAGGCATAAAAAGCGTGGACAAAAACGAGAGAGAAAAAAGATTGAAAGGGAGGAGACGAAATAAACACTCACGCACCACACACACACACACACACATATACGCAAAATGTGGCCCTAGAGTGAGACCCGATTCGCTACCGAACCAAAAAAAATATTATCGTCTCAGGACCCAAAAATTTCTTAAAAACTAATCAACTACCTTCATATATTGTACGGGTGAAAATTGTTGTATTAGGATTTATGACAATTCAATATTCAAGGTGAGTGGTTTTTCGATTCATTATCGGTATAGTACAATGTTCTTATCGCATGTTTTTTTTAATCTTCTGATTATCGCTCAAAACAATTCTCGCTATAAAAGTTTAAAATGATATCAATCGTTGAGTAAAATTTTTGCGGGAGGTCGGACACAACATTTTCAAGGTGTTCGGTCGTCTCTCAACGTTTTAATCGCATTACATCACATTGTACTTTTAGATTTGAACATCTGATTGCCTAAGGATCATTGTAATTTGGGGAAAAAGAAAAACTAATCTTCAAATTTTTTTGAACTTGATATTACTGTAGGATTTGATAAATATCTATTCAATCCTTTTTTTATGATTTTGGAGAATTCACTTTCTCATGCTCGCAAATTCACGTTATAATGTCTAGACGCGTATTCGATTAAAAATTTATAATCAAGATCGCGGTATAATGAGTTTTGAGTAATCTCCTTTGGAAACGCTTCCGATCTACATATATGTATTCAAGAGCATTTCGTTGCTCACAAAAAGTGCATATTAATATTTTTCAGGCAATTGTTCGCCAAATTTTTCCTTGAGTGGACCCTATTTGAGAAGCCCAGTTAAAATTTCTTCTTTTTTTTCGTGGCTTCTAATTTATTGAAGATATATCCACACTTACGTAAAATCAAAATCAATTTATATAGAATGATGGAATTTTTGGATTTTTTTTTCTGAAGGCAAAATCAAAGTATAAAGTGAACCAAAAATAAGAGAGAAAAACGGTTTTTGACCACTATGCGATTACGTTTTAAGATACAAACATAAAAATTAGTAGAAATAGGTAATCTTTCATGCTGAAAACAATTTTAACACTGATTGCTCTTAAAATATCGAAATAATTGTCTCCCCCAAATAGTTCATTTTTTTTCTTTTCTCGTTTTTCTTCTAATAGTCTCCAGATTTAATAGGGACTCAAAAGCTGTCATCAAATGTAGAATTCGAGAGCTAATAAGTGGATTCTGAAAGGCGATCCGCCTCAAATTCTGAGCGTCTTCTTCATTTGAACATTGATGTTTGGTCGCGAAATGCGTTACAATAATCATCTCCAGACCCATTATTATGGTGGCCAAACAATTTGCATCCTATGTGAGAAACGTCGTAAAATAACTACAGGGTGTCATTTAAGTTCCCGCACAAAAGTTTGACGCCATGAAGAGCTTGGCTGTCACACTTTTCGTGCACCAATACAATTTATTTTTGTTAAATAAGGTATATTTTACTTACTTTCCAAGTTTTACCTCATTCGGATGTGTTTCCGAGAAATGGCGAAGGCTAACATCCATTGCGCTTCCATTATCGAACTTCATAAGCAAAATGTGAGCCTGAGAGACATCATTCAACGCCTCGGTGTGCCTCTTAGAACGGTTTACGACATCATCTAACGTTTCAAGGAACTAAATACGACCAGTGACCGTCCCAGATAAGGAAGACTCGTCTCGGTAACCACTCCTCAGAAGTTCAACGCCGTTAAATCGAAGATCAGGCGAAACCCACACAGGAGCATGAGAAAGATGGCGTCAGACGTGGAAATGAGCATCTTCGCTATGGAACAAATCGTCAAAACGAAGCTTGGACTGACCCCATATCGTGTCCAAAAAGCGGCAATTCTATCGGCCGCCAACAAGTAGAGACGCTTCGAAAAAGCAAAACGACTTCTTGCTCGCACGCGGTCTGGAGAACACCTCGTCACTGTCTTCTCCGATGAGAAGCTGTTCAGTGTGGATGCGGCATTCAACTCACAAAACCATCGAGTACTTGCCCAGACATCCCAGCAAGCTTCTGAGAAAGGAAGAACATATCATCCAGCCTCACATCCTGCCAGTGTGATGGTTTTCGGTGCCATCTGCTCAACCGGGAAGTGCTCCCTGGTTTTCGCGGATCAGGGGGTGAAAGTGAACAAAGAAGTCTACGTTCGGGACATTTTGGAGAAGCATGTGATGCCCTGTACCCAAACGCATTTCGGTGGGCAGAAATAGGTTTTTTAACAGGACGGAGCACCCGCCCACACTGCCAAAACTACTCAGGAGTGGTGCCAGACCCATTTTCCCGACTTCATCAAGTCATCCGAATGGTCTGATTGCTCCCCAGACCTGAACCCGCTTGACTTTTCCGTGATGGGCTCTTGCAGGAGAAGGTCAACGCAAAACCCCACTCAAGTGTCGAGGCTCTGAAGAAGACATTACTGGCGGAATGGGACAATCTTTCCATCGAATACCTGCGTACCACAGTCATATCCTACCCGAAGCGTCTCCGTGAAGTCATAGCTGCGAAAGGAGACCGAATCAAAAAGAGTTAATAGATAATTATTTTTTATACTATAGATAAAAAATATTTCGAGTCTCGTTTGATTTGGACTTTTAGTTTCAGAAATATACGTTTTCAAAGTTGTGCGGGAACTTAAATGACACCCTGTATGTTTCGCCGATAGATTTTTATCATTTCGTTCGCACACACCCTCAACTCACGAATTCAACGCATTTGTTTTTGGTTGTTTGAGCTGCCTCGTCATCATCTTCATCATCATCATCATTATTGTCGTCGTTGCAAACTTTTTGATTTGTTTTCTTCCTGCAGAAAATTGTGCACTTTCTCTAAGTGTGCGGTTATAAACATTTGTTTCGTTTCTCACCAGCCGCTCGCCATAAGGATTTTCGGACAATTGTCAACTAGAGTACTGATTGGTTTTGTGTTTTCGATTTTTTTCTCTTCATTTGAAAATTGAAATCACATTTGAGAACTATTTTATTGCCAAAAAACTGAGCACTTTGACAAATTGTGGGCCATCGCACTTTTACGCACTTTTAGGCGGTAATTGAAATTCGAATTTAAACAGTGTGAATTTTGATACCGTACTTTGGATAACCTGCGAAGCTAACTCATCGTAATAGGGTGCTCGATTTTTTTGCGAAAATAATATCTACCTAGTGTTTCATCGAAAAATCGAATTTTCTCATTAATTTTACTACCTAAAAATAAAAATTTGCTAAAATTGTAAAAGTACAGAAAATTGTATAAGAGATTGCAAAAAGATATGGTTTGTTCAAAATAGGGTTTTCATTTTTAATTCAAGTTTCTCGGAAACGATTATTCTATTTTGCACTTTTGAGGATTTATTGATGCGCGTTTCATCCAAAATATTTAAAAATATGTGTGTTTAACCAATTCTTATTCAAAATATAATTTTTTTACGTGCCGATTCGCAAATTTTGAACAAGACGAGCCCGTCAAAGTACACAAATCGGCCGTGTTTTTTTCCGCTCTTGGAAAAAGCAGAAAAAAAGCACTGCGATTTTTTCTCCTTCAAGCAGAACATATTGTTTTGTTTTTTTTTTGTTTGAATGACCTACTTTGAAAAAAAAAACGAAAACAATTTTTAAAACGTGGAATATCATTTGCTGAGTCTCGTCAAATTCGAATCTTCCTGGGTAATTTTTTGGCCAAAAAAACGAACTCATAAAATGGGCAATCAAGGCTCCCACGGTCAATGGCCTAGCGTATGGTTTCTCTTTTAAACATTCCGATCGTATACATTTTATGTTATGGTTTTTTTTATTCTCCGTCAGACACTATCATTGGAATTATTTATGAGTATGTAGCGATTGTGTTCAATTTTTGAATATACCTATAGAAATCTTTTGACCCAGCCACAAATCTATTATCCTTTTGTTCAAATTTCTTGCGAAAAAGTTTAGCCAAACGCGAAATGCCATTTATCTCGCGAAAATGTAGTTGTGATTTATTTTCTTGCGAAAAATCTCTTGTTGTTGTTGTTTTTGTTATGAGCGATTTGTTAGAATTGCAATCTTTCTTCCATTATTGCTATTTGTTTTGAGCCGCAAGTGCACTCAATTTTCTTTAGGCTCCAAATAAAAGCCAAACTAGGTTGGCAGTCAAGTTTCACATTTCATTGCGTTCTCTTTTTTGCGATAACTCCTGAAAATGCAGATCCGAATGAGCAATGATATTGAATTTCAGAGTGGCTTCGGTGTTGGGAATGTGCTTATTTACATTTGAAACGAAAAACCCCGGCGATTGAGCCAGAATTCATTTCATTTCATGTTTTTTTTTCGTGTTTCAGATGAACAGAATGACACTCATCGAAAAAGGCTGCGACAAATCGTCGTCGAACGATTTCGTTGGAACATCGGGTATTCCACCGCCGCGCAATGTTTATACGGTGTCGCCTTCCCTCTCTGGTATGTGCATTTATCGGTTTCATTTTCGTTATACATATTTTCCAAAAAACACTGGCACACACATGAAATCGTCATATTCATAAGTTGGTATAAACATGTTGCGCATATATTCGCACGTGGTGTTGGGTGGAGGGAGGGGTGTGCGTGTGTGGCACGAAACCCTCTGTTTTTGTTATTTTCGAACATTTGTGCGTGCCATTTTCGAAATTGTCGCATTTCTAAACATTTTCTCGTTTCGATTTCGATTTTTTTAATGAAACTAATCTAATCTTTTTTGGATTTGAGTCGATGATTCTAGAAACTTCATTTTCAAATTTCTCTAGTTCATCATTTTGCCTTCAGATTCGTCAGACGCTTCTCGACGCCGATTATCATCAACAACAACTCGTCGTTCGTCTTTTCTCAACAGTTTGTTTTATTATTAGTCGAATCATGTTTTTGTTTTAATTTTCTCATGTTTGCAGGCTTCCGTGAGCTTCTTCATCCTCGTTCGGGAAGTCTTGGCGATAAAATGTTCAAAAAACAAGATAATTTGCGTAAAGTGCAAGTTCGCGAGTGCAATGTCGATGAAGTTTATGACTTGCGTCAGGATAAAAACGATTTTTACGATGATGAGGTTCGATCGCAAATATTCGTTTATACGATTCAAGGGACCGTTTTTTAGACTGCATTCCGTCGCCCGAGATCGAACAGTTCGGACTTTCTCATTCTTCGCAAAACGTCTCGTCCGTTGTCAGTCAACGTTGTTGGATTGATTGGTATTACATCTGTTGCATTCTTCGACATCTGTGCTACGTTTTTAGATCAACAAACTGATCCGTATCGTCAATACATGAAAGTTGTCGATGTCTACGAGTTGTGTCCGCAGAACTCGCAGGTTCACGCGGTTGATCACAAACTGTCCGCCCATCGTGCGTTCATGATCCTTCGCGACAAAAAGATCTCGTCGCTTCTCGTTTGGAATGCGGAGAAGGAGGAGCTGAACGCGATTCTCACGCTCACCGATTTTCTCATTTACATGCGCAGCGGAAAAAAGATCGACGACAAATGTCTGGTTCGGGACATTCTTTCGGGCAGCCAACTTGTCGACGTCGGAATTTCGGCCAAGATATTCGACGCTTGCTCGGAACTCCAACAAAACAAAATGCATCGTTTGGGAGTTCGCGACGAGCTCGGAAACGTGGTGTTCATGGTGACTATCAGAAGAGTGTTGACGGCAATCCACAAGCAGGTGAGAATTGAGACGAAAACACCATAAAAGTTTTTGTGCTAATCATTTCAGAACCGCTCGCTCCATTTTGCTCAATGGCTCAGCCATCCGGTTGCTGTTGCGAATATTGGCACCTGGGACGATCTCAAAACGGTATTTTCTAAAATACCAACTATCGTGGTTTATTCGATTTTTTCTTCAGGTTCGCAAGGATATGACAATTATGGTCGCGATGGGCGAAATGATCGGATTCCGTTTGTCGACAATGCCAATCGTCGACGCGGACGACAAAGTGATCGGAGTATTGACGAAGAAGGATATCTGCGAGGCGCTTCCACTTGACGTTGAGGATCCGAAGAATTGGATGGAGACGACCACTTTGGATGACATTCGTGATTTTTGCAAACGCGAGATTTTCATTTCGTCGAGCCACACAATTGGAGCCGTTCTTGATTCCCTTCTCACCGGGCCCTCGAACACCGCATTCGTTTTGCACAACCAGATTGCGATCGGCGCGATCTCGTTGTCCGACATTCTGCGCTTCATGATGAACCATCCGAGCGAGGCGCTTCTCGATAATGGAATGCCGACGCCGGAATCGAAGGAAGGAAGCAGCGAGAGCATTCGTTCGCCACTTGCGAAATAATTTATATTTTGTTGTACAGATTTATTTCAATGATTTCCTGTTTTGCATTCTTTTTTTTGTTGAACCTTTCATTTCTTTCTTTTCCCTCCACAATGTTTAGTTTCCCCTGTCATAATTTCAATTGACTTTCATTTTGCAATTTATCATGTATCATTTTCCCATCGAACTCTAATGTCTAGCTTTTAATATTGCATTATCATAGCTTTACGCGCTTCTAATTCATTTGTTGTTTCTCCTCTCCTTTCCTCGTTTATCCCTCGTGATTTTCAATGGTTGGTGACTCATTGTTTTTACGGAATCCTGTTCACTTTTTGCTATCCATAATTAACTTTGAATAAACATGCATACGAAACTGTTATAAGCTTGGCGGTGAAACTTATATCTGAATGGTGAATAAAACGACAAAGCAATAATTGGTATGCGTGTATACACCGAGTGCTTACCGTACACCAGGGTGATAAAGCGAGATTTCTCGTGATAGTAACAACATTTTTTTTGAGTTCCTTGAACGAGACGATAGATGATCCGGGCATGATTCCTCGCAAATCCAAAGTCGCTAACCAGCGTTTCCAGTGTGGATCCAATTATTTGCAGGAATTTCTACTCTTGTCACAATTCCCTCATTTAATCCGAATAAAAACGGCAAAACATAGGATTGCCTTTTATCATTTTGGTTTTCTTCCATTCCAACAGTGTAGGTGGTTACAGTAAAGCGAACAGATTCTCGCGGCTTGCTCATTTTGAGCCTCTTCACTTCGGGGTTCAAACAAACAAATTTAGAACAACCAGCTTTTGTATATCTCTTAATAGTGTGACGCATCCTCTCCCGGCGCCAAGCGGGGGTCACCCTGTAGTGCCCTGACAAGCTGCTCAAATTATCATAATAAACAAAGAATTGAATCTTGTAGAAATGGCTTAAACTCAAATAGTTCTTGATAAACCTATTTACGTATGTTGGCTTTGCTATCCTGAAGTTGAGTAAATGGCTGATGTATGTACGATTCTCATTATAATGTTATGAAGAAGAAGTATGGAGAGAATTTAAAATTTGTATTATCAAGATAAAGATTCTTCAATTAATAATATTAGGAAGGATGAAATCATGAAGTAAGAATTTGATTTTAGTGATTATCCAGAAAATTTAAGGATGAACTAAATGGTTTAATAATGGAAGATTATTTAGCCTTAAAGCCTAAACAATATGGTTACAAGATGGTTCTGAATGTAAAAACTAAAGGAATTAAGAAATGCATTGTTAAATCTTTGAGAGTTGATGATTATAAAGATAGACTATTCAATAAAACTATTGTTAAAAAGAAACAATGTTGTACATATTGGGAGTATCAAGCAACAATACTCAAGAACAAGAAAAAGTTGTTTTTGACAATGAAAAAAATGAAACTAAATTGCTATGTTTCAAGAGAATTATCATTCCAAATTCATATGAAACAAATGCTTTTGGATTTAATCCTTTATAAAATGGTTGTTCTAAATTTATTCGTTTCCATAAACTTTAGAAAGAGTAAACAGTAAATGATCACAATGATTTGTTCCGAATTTTTGTATTTGAAATGTAGACAACTCAATGACTGATTTTCTATCCTTTTTTTTTTACAAAAAAAAACGCCAATTGGCGAAAAGGTGCGCTAGAACGGCAAAATACATAATATTGTTTCCAGTGGCCAATTTTTAGTGTTTTCAACGAAATTCTCACAATTGACAAAGTTACACCCAAAAACAGGGATAACTGTATAAACTATCCCTAATTGTAATTATGAAAATCAATAATTTAAGCTCTTCGACAATATATTCACACAAAAATTGTTTGAATTTTAAATTTAATAGAAATAAAAAAGTTCAATAGAGCTGATTTTCTCAGTAGCCGAACCGAATGAGTTTCAAGGTATCCGATGTTGCTCAAGCTGCTCTTTCACCATTTGGGAGGCAACGAAAATTTATTTTTCGCTTTTTATTTGAAAATTGCGTGAAAGAACTGCGATTATGAATAAAGCGTCTTGATATGCTTGAAGATTTCTGAAGTGATTAAAATTAACAAAATAAAAATAATATTTAGGTTTTCAGATTCCAACTCCGTCATCGACATTCGCGAAATTCCTTCTTCCAACGAAAAACATGAAATTAGTTCTTTTTTTTAATCTTTAAATAAATTATTTTATGAAGAGTGCAATCAAACACCAGAAAGTTTTTCACCATGCATCTTCAATATCTCAGCACTTCAGAAATCAGGTTTAAAACATAATGCGCAAAGTCTCAGGAACCAAACGTTTGAGAAAAAAGGCATCTAATTAAAATGGTCCGAAACTCATTTCCACATTTTCCTGTGTGTGCTCAAAAATCTGTTGAAATTTCATTGTTTTTCATTCATTACTCTCAATTCATTGCATTTATTGATTGTTTTTCGATTGTGGTTTCTTTGATGGCGGCTTTCTGCGCACATTTCGCGCTCTTGATGCCAGCAGTAATCTCTTCTGCTTCTTCAGTACTCGTGCCAAAACGCTGCAAAATCGGCAAATTTTCCAAATAGTTTGCGAAATTCCAAACCGTTTACGGTATTCATCTTCACTAGTCGACTTTTCGAGATATGCATTCTGGCTTACATCATATGGAGCTGAAATTCATACTACATTTGTACAATTCACTAATTACCTCTTACCTGGAGCTTCATAGAAGCTCCCTTTGTCAACTCCACTTTTTGGAGGACATGGACAATATTCTGCGTCTTGTCCAGGAGGTCCCGGCAATCCAGGATATCCTTGAGGTCCTGGAGGTCCACAAGGCCCATCATCCCCAGGTGGCCCTTGGAATCCTGGTGGTCCTGGAGGTCCTGGTGGTGGTGTCAATCCAGGGCTACCAGGTTGGCCGCATGGTCCAGGTGGTCCTGGTGGCCCTTTACGACCAGGCTGGCATATGTGTCGAATAGCATCGCGACCGGGCTCCCCATCAGTCCCTGGAGGTCCTGGCGGTCCTTGTGGTCCCTTATCACCGCAAGGACCCGGAGGGCCTTGTCGACCAGGCTGTGGCGAATATCCAGGAAGACCCTGATTCCCAGGCGGTCCCTTAAAACCAAATCGATCATCTTGCACACAATCAAAAATTCATTAAGCTACCGGATTTCCAGGATAACCAGTGTTACCGGGAAGTCCCGGCGGACCCTGAGGGCACACAATACATCCGGGCTGCTCTTGATCATAAGCGTTGAGCACGACACCATTCGCACCAGGTTTGCCATCAAGTCCCGGTGTGCCGGGCTCTGCAACACAACGTGATTTGTTCGTGAGCCAATGGGAATCGTTTTTCCCCGACTACCGTTTGTCTAGTTTCTTATTCATGGGTATTTCAAAAAGGGGAAAAAATAAGAGCCCATCATATATTAATTTGTTTGTGGGTCCCTTTTTTTTGAGTCAATTTAATTGAAAAGATGGACCAATTTGATCTCGGGAATATTAATGGTTCATCGAATCGAAAAACATTGCGCCAAAAAAACTTTTTTTTTTCATTTTTTTGAACGAGTATTTCCCCTCTATTAATGTCGTCTTTTTTGGTGGCAATTCCTGCAAAACCGTATGTTTGCTTTTTTTCCTGTCTGGCTGACGAGATTGTCGATTTCACTTCGACAAAAAAAGCGAGAGTTTCGTGCCGTCGATCTGGTAGTTGGGAAACACATGGTAATTGGTTGGAAAATGGAGAGGAAATGAAGATCCGGACAAAACTTTCACCTCCGTCGAATCCTGGCAGTCCGGGTGGTCCGGGCGGTCCTGACGGACAATTATTTGCACGAGGTCCGCAATCTGTAATTATATTGTGCGATGAACTTCAAAGAGATGGCAATAATATTAGTGGATAGATCAAATTGCATAATTTGCTCGGCATTTTTTTTCGCACGTCGGAATATTCAATTCGAAATTTGAGCCGTCGGTGTCAAAATTCGTTTTTGGATGGCATTTTTTAAAAAATATTCCAAAATGTCTCAAAAAGGGCGTCAAAATATCGAAAGCTCAAAGTCCACTAAAATTTTTCTCGTTGAAAATTTCGCATTCTTCTATTTTTCTCATTGGAAATTTTTGTTTTTTCTCTTTTATTCTCAACCTCTCAAATTCATGGAAGAAAACTCGAAATAAATAGGGTTTTTAAATTTTTTGTTGTTGTTGTTTTTTTTTGCGAAATCTGCATAGTACCATTAAAACCCCCAATTTCGTGTCGAGAGTTCTTTCAACAATAATTTTTTTTCATTTTTCGAATTTTGCAAATGTGCCGAAGAAATTAAGAAGCTTACTGCATTGATCCTGCGGTGCCGTTGCATAGCTATTGAGCCTCGCATAGGAAGTCGTCTGGCTTGCCGAATAATCACTGCAATTCGCTTCTTTTCCATTTAGGGACCATCAATGGGTCAAACTTATATGTTGCATAGTCACTGGATTGTCGTTTTATGAATCGATTGGGTCCACTGCGTCGAGTTTTCCGAATCGAGACTGACTGGATCTCCTTCCAAGCTTGATCCGAAAAATACTAAATAAGGGGCGAATTATAATTGATTGCACAATTCGCGTCACCTTCCATTCTTTCAAATCATCGAACGTCTGTTCTCGGAATTGCTCGATCTGTCGACTCGTCATGAATATGAGGAAGACGCATGAGGAAAGTAGAATCGCGGAGACCGCCAACGACAATTGCACAACGGTCTTGATGGATAGCATCCGCGAGATATTGGAAATATCGAACATTATTGACGGTGGCGACATTTAGTCGAACCGGCGGTTTTAAACGAGGCTGCAAAACAGAAAACCACTTGAAACTCGCTCGCTCGCACCCATATATGGCAATTGAAACGCTTTAATATACGGCATTCTGAATAGAGCGATCCGCCTCTGCGATGATGAGGATGATGCATCACTCATCCAATTTCACACCTCATTTCAATGGATATTATAATTAACACACACACACACACACACACACACAAGCACGCACATATTGGTGGAACAAAGCGATGCTAGAAAATAAGTATGAATTGAAGAGTGAATGGCCGAACTAATCGAATATCGAATGGTTGTGTGAACGACGAATGCGCAACGAAACCCAATAATTGAACCGAACCGACACGGCTTTTTTTTTCGTTGGTGATTTATTGAGCAGCGAGGCATCGAAACTGGATGTCAATTTCAATTTTGCAAAATTTTGAGTATTTTTTTTGGCAGGTGGAGTGACCTTTTAGAGATTGCAATTCTTGTTAATTATTTATTCGTACTCAACGGAGAAAACAAAATTCTCGATTGTAGTTTAGTCTCAGAAATTTAGCTATTCTTGATGTTCTAGACTCTCGTCAAACTTCCTTCCGAAGAAAATGATTTAAAAGCATCAAAGATAAGCGGAAACACCCTCGCCATCGAATGATATTCCTTATTCGAACTTCCGATCTTAAAAGCTATATTTCCGCCCAATGCGATGTTGTATGTCACAGTGAAAAAGTGTACATCATAAATTGCCTTATTACGGTTTGAATTTAAGCTGAAACAGAGTCGATCCGTAGACTGAAACAGAAATTTAAAAAAAAAGTTGAGCAAATATGTAAAAAAAAATGGGAAATTTTAAGCAATTGTGGACCATTGTGTTTCGTGGTGGCGGTAATTCAAATTTCGATTTGCACAGGGATTTTGTGGACTGTAGCCGGCGAATCAAACATACCGGGATTTATTCTCTTCTCAATAAATATATTCTCGAGTCTTGTCGAATGATTTTTTTGATAACATTTGGACCCCTCCCCTCTCAGCTTGTCGTGAAGAAAACCGTATACCACGTGCCGCCGGAAAAACTCGCGCAAACATTTCGCCAAATAAATTATTCAGCGGAAAAATCGAGTAGGACGCGTTTTTTTTCAAGCATGATTTTATATTAAATTTATAAAATTCGCTTTTCTCCTCCCAGAAAAAGATTTCAGTTGATCCAAACTAAATACAATCATATTTTTTGCTCTCTAAACTGGCTGCTCGATTCGATAATTCGATTATAAATAATCCATGCTGCTTATTAAGCAATTCTATCCTTATTCCTTCTTTTTTTCCCTTAGAATTTTTCCGCTTTTTTTGTAGCCCAATTTTTAATTGAACATTGTCGTATGACCAAACATGTGAAGCACTTTCATTGTTTTTTTTTCGAAATTGCTTTCAACCCTTCAAAAATCCATTATTTCTTCCCCTTTTCAATCGTTTTCTTTCTCGATGATCCAGTTCCGCGTGCACTGACTACTTCCGAAATGAGCCCCCAATTCGCTGAATCGCTTCGGATTTGCTGTCTTTACAAATTCATTGTTTATTCAAGACGAGAAAACAACAGGTCAACCAACTCAGCGATTCTTCATAGCTGTCTATGCCTTTTTTTGTTGTGTTTTAGAAATAAATGCGTCTGCAAGAAGCCCATAGAAGTAGTTAATTTAGCAATCGGGCTTCATTATTGAATATGACGCAGAATTTGATGTGATTGTCATTGTGAGAATCTCTTTTGATAAATACATATATAAATAGTAGCTGCTCTAATTGAATATCACATTTGGAATTGCAGACTTCTGTAGATTTAATATCCGAAACATCCCAGTTATAATCAGTTTTTTCTCGTTTCATTTTATTCTTTTGTCTTACAGAAATTACAGCTGTTCAATTGAAAAGCACTAAAAGTCAGACATTTTTACACAATTCCTTCGAATCAATAGCGACAGGTCAAAGTCCGTTAACGGTGTAAAACATAATGAAAAGTGTCGAAGGATCCATGTGAAATTGACACTCTTTCTTTTCATATTGAAGAATTTAATAAAGAAAATATATTAGTTAACAAGCATTATATAAAGAATGTTGTTCCTCTTTTTCATCGAGCCGATCTTCGTCAAACTATTCGTTTGCAAATTCCCTATTTTTTTTTTTTGAAAAGCCCGTTCGAATGGTTTTTGTAATTTCATCGCTGGCTCCAATTGAGGGGTTTTTGAGCTCGCAACGTATTGGCTCAGAATTCACGTAGAATTACCCATAAGTGTTGCTTGATGTCGAACAATACGACATAATCGCGTGACGGAATTGTGCCTTCAATTCGACGTCAACGTCGGAGAGTACAAATTTTTTGTTTTCACCTCGAATTGCTGAAAATCGCTGATAAATAATTGCGAACAAGATTTTAATAATTCAAAAAAAAATTCACAATTATGCCTATTTTAAATTCTGAATAGTCTGAAAATGTCAGAAAATCAATTGGAACATTCTAGTTCGAAGAAAGGTGTATAGCAATACTCTCTGAGGACCCCCCCCCCAAAAAAAACTCCCTGGAGAAATTTACTCGACTTCGAAAAAATTGATATTCTCGAAAGTGAGAGTATTAAATGCTTTCATTCAACAATTTCTGTGATATTGTCCCCGCTAATCTCCCACTTAATACGTACTCAAAACACTAAGAATCTATAGAAAATCGAAAACGACTTGATACATATGCATATACATATAATATATAACATTATTATTATTATTATTATCAGTTGGCGCTATTTTTAGTTGAAGCCCTTTCATCAACTTCCTTCAGGCCACCAAATTTAGTATGTGTGAAATCGGTCGGCTCGTTCTCATGATTTCCTTGTTGCTTTTTTTTCCACCCTCCCTTTCACGAGTTAATCTCCGCTGATTCCATTCAGCCTTTCAGGTCACGCCTATCGAAATCACCGAGGAAACACGGAATTTGTCAACCTCGTAAAATGTGAATAAAAAAAACCTATTCATCCAATTTATTTTCATCATGAAAATCAGATTTCAAAATGAGCCCCCCACCATATATGTAGTTTATCCATGGGGAGGGCTAATTATGCCACATCCTTCTTCGCGCCAATTAGCTTGTTTTTTGAATAGAATTGCGCTACTTTTGAATTTTCTAATAAATTTCTTGATTCCAGTCCAGCCATGCAATTCGCGCCGATTCTCATGTGCCTCTCAATGTTGACGATCGCCGCATTCGCATTCCCATATTCGGGATTGGCGAGCAAATCAATCGATTCGCGCGCGACACGTCTTCGGTTTGTAATTTCATTTTTTTAAATTAATTTTGACATCATTTTGAAAATTGCGATGAGAAAAATATGTAGCAATAATGTGGGAAGATTTTGAAATTCCTAATTGAATTCTAATGAATGGTTCAGAACAAAAATGAATAGTTGAGCCTCTCTCCATCTCAATTATGAATATATTTCAGATTCTCCGACGGACCATCTCCTCAAGGCGCGATTCCTCCGGCTGCAACTGGACAAAGGTTTGGTGTAGTATTCAGGTAGATTAGATGTGTAGAATACTTCCACTCTTACCACTGACATACACGTTTGCTTGATAATTTTTTTTTCACACGATTGATGTGAAACTGAATTCAGGGACTCGGTAAATCCTCAACTGCACTTTGGCGCAAGTTCGCCACTCATTGTGTTCGACGGTCGCCTCTACAATCTGGCAGGACTCGTCTGAATGAGCACACTGCGAATCAAAATCATGGGCCGAATAAACTTGTTCATTTAATCGCTATTTACTCTTGACAACTTCTGCAATTCATTTATCTAAGCAGGAAAAACAACATATATCGATATGTATAGACATAAATCTAAGAAGACTGAAGGAATTCCAGAATTTTTGCTGAAAACCATTTCGGATATTTATGATAAAAATCGTGTCCGCCTTGTGCGTGAATCTCGACTCTGAAAAATATTTTCATTTCGTTTGCCGAATAGTATTTTAAGCCGGCTCGATCTTCTTTTTTTCCCTTAAAATTTATAGATATAAGTACTTCTATTTAAAAACACCCCGCCAAACTCGATGGGCCGATAAAAATGCTTATACAAGTATGTATAATTATAGGTCCAGCAAAACAGTTTAAAAATTATTTTTTCAATTTGAATGAGGATGGATTTTTTGTGTTTTTTTTTTCTTTTTTCTCTCTAGCCCAAAAAAACTGTCGTTTTTGTCGATAAATCAAGCAACACACAAATTTCTTCAAAAATTTTGAGTTTGCATGAATCCATTCGTCCTCAACAATCTCCTGGAAAACGTTGACCGATTTGGAAGTATCGCCCGAAGATCGGGCAAGATGGCCTCGGTCGAACTGTCTCAAAATTTCGTGAAGCTCATATTTCATATTTTGCCGGCAATTCAGATTATTAAAACATTGGGAGACTCAATTCAATTAAATTTATCAAAAACAATTGAAGGGAGCGTTTGCAAAGTCGTTGATTGTCGTTTTTTTTTCATAAGGATCAAAAATTTTGTTTCCGGATCTGTATTGCATCATTATGATTGTGTTTTTCATCAACTCCCCCCCCCCTCCCATTAACAAAATACGACATTTTGATAGCCATATAATGAAAATCAACAAACTTGGCGAGATCCTTGAGCACCGGCAGGTACGTCGTGTTGACATCGCAACAGAATCGATCCATTCCGCCATTCATGATGAGCGTTTTGCATTTGATGCGAGGCAACGCGAGATCCGACGGAAATCGACCACCGCAATACGTGTGCACTCTCAAAATAGACATATTTGTTGCGGCGGTTCGTATGAATTGCGACCCACTGGTCGACGACATCGCAAAGAGCCGCCCATTGCTCGCGGAGGAATTCGTTCGAATAATGAGCCAAATATGGTTTGCGAGCATCAGCCAACCAATGGTTCGTCTCTCGCATCCCTGTAATCAAAATTGCCCCCGTTTTTTTTGGCAGGAACCCTTTCCCCCAAACGACACAAAAGTTGTTCCTCTAATTACCTTTAAAGGCAAGGGCGCCTAATTTGTTGACTCTCGTGCCACTCGCCAACAGAATTAGTCGATTAACCTACAAAATGAAGTTTCGTCGTTTGTCATCCGCCCAAATGTTACCCGATCTTTGCCGCCTTTTGCGGCTACATGGACGGCAGTTCGTGCTCCTTCCGACCATCCCATCACTGTGAAGGGCTCGAGTTTGAGAGCCTGTAGGTAATCGTATCAAAATTAGCAATCGTTTCGATCTTACCTCCATCAAACCAAGACAATAGTCGGCATCCTTCATACACCGATTCACTTCCTGCTTCCTGTCTGGAGGTCGAGAAGTACCGTAGCCGGGTGGATCAATACAGATCATTGTGACGAGATCTGGGGAGAAGTGCTGAAGAACTGCCAGCGGCCAATCCTTCTTATAGCATCCTAGAAATGGTTAAATTGGTTACACGAAAAAAATATTTAATAGAAATGCTAGATGAGTTACCGACGGCTCCGCAGATGCACAACACATTCAAAGGACCATGACCATATTTGCAATAGCCAATATTCATGTCGATGATGAATTCGTGCCCTTCGACGTAGTCGGACTCGGCCATTTTGACCTGTAAGTGTGTCGGGTTGAACGAGGCAAATGGAGTGGAGGAGAAGACCGACGAAAACAGGAAAAGCTAATCAGAATTGTTATTGGGACAAGAGAAAAAAGGTAAGAAAAAAACATGATCTAATCGGAATTAACACTTTATGAAACAAAAGACTGGTTAAATTCCCAAAAAAAAAAACTTTTTATAGTAAACGACGGGGGAGGTTGGCGCGAGACGGATAACAATCTGCGAACAAAGGGCAACACTCTCATTCCGATTCCGAATCGGCATTCTTTTGTAACATTTTGACCAAAAAATTTCCGATCATCGAAATTATTTTTGCGATCAAATGTTATTGATAAACAATAATCGCAATCATGAGCAATGGAAATATTCGATTCGACGTGCCGTTCGAAACGAATTGATCTGACAAGGATAAGAAGAAGAAGAAGAAGAAGCAAATCATTGTGATCGTTCCAAAACTCAACGCGGAATTTATAGCCGTGAGTTGTGCAAGGAGGAGTCAGAAGTGGGCGGGGAGCCACGTGGCAACCACGTGGGTAACAGAATTCGAGATTTTCGAGAGAACGATACACAATAATACCTTCTTTGGTAGAAGATTAGCGGTCTACCATCTTGACCGGATTAACCTAAAAGCATAATTTCCTATTTTGAACCGGTTTACTCAGTTTCATAGTTTCTGTCAATATAATGGATATGATCATAGCGAGAGAGTGGATTTTCGGTTTATTTTTTCGAATATATAAATATCAAAAATGAGAATTGGAATATTTACGTTGAGAAAAATTGAATTTTCTTTATTTTAATTAAACTATTATCAAAATTGAATATTATTTTGAAAATTTCGACAAAAATCTGATTCAGCGATTTTTTTTTAGATAAACATCGCTTCAATTAAACGAAACAGACTTCGATTGACATTTTAAAAAATATTGGAAATCAGCTGCGGACACGTTTTGAGCAAAAACGATTTTTGTTCAGCTAAAATCAATTTTTGGTAGGGATAAAATGAAACATTCAGCATGACTGACGAATACCTTCTAATAACGATGAAGCTTCTTATAATAAAATATTGGAATCGCTATAAACTACAGAATACGGCTACAGCGGAACATCAAGATCAAATAAATTCCGGCCAACGTAAGGGTGTGATTCGAGGAAATCCGTGTAGGCGAGAGATGTCGACATATGATAGTAATAGCGAGACGAGTGACATCACAACAATCACACATCCATTCAACAGTAGCAATTGGAGAATGCGGTTTTACAGTGTATGCGAGCGAGATGCGCCAGAAAAAGCTTTCACAATAGAATGATTAAACGAAATAGGCAACGAATCGAAGAGATGATGCGCGAACAATTCGTTTGCTAAGGCCGGTGTGTAACCGCAGAATGTCCTTTCGATCGGCCATCGGCAGCAAAAAAAAATGAAGTGAAGGAAAATAATAAGAAACGTGATATGAATTGCGACAAACGCTCAATTATTATTATTATTATTTTGACGAATCGTAAAGAATCTGCCCGTGCTTTTTTTTTTGGAATTAAAATGTGTTCTGCTGGCAATAGTGTGAGTTATCAATGATGACGGGCCGACAGCGAAACAGCGAGAGGTGTTCAGAATTCGTGTGAGGTTATTTCGACATTCAAAAGTTTTTTCGACAGTATGCCCAAGAATCGCAGCTATGACATGAGTTTCAAAGGTAGACGTAAGAACTCCGTTCAAATTCTGAAAAAATTATCATTTTTCTTTTCAAAAAAAATTTTCTCTTAATAAATTTGGTAAGCAAATACCCCCTCTTTTTCCACAACAGAATCGCTTCGAAAATTTTTATTCGCAAATTCATTTTACTGCTTCACGACACACACAATTAAATACTATTTTTTTGTGTATACATCTTGAATAGTATGATTTTAGTATATCTACAAGATATTGCTGACGACGATGTGACGACATCCTCTGTGCCGAGCATTTTGCAAACTCGCCGTGTCAGATCCTCGACATCGATGCCTCGTGTGCAGCCAACTTGCATCGCCACATATGGTCATATCCCCTCAAAAGAATCCCTAGCAACCCGATTGAGTTCCACCAATCTTACCTCATCATCGGTTATTCATCTGATTCATATCGTCTTCTCATATTGTTCATTTAGGTGGATAGCTCATCGTCTACACCAACGTCTTGCGCTCAATCCTCGTGTGTGCCGTCGGATTTGGAGACGAAAGGAGCGTCTGATTCCGAAGGAAGCGGGATTCCATCGAAGAAAGACAATGACAACAATGGCGTCGATAATATTTTGCAATCATTGAGCGAAACTCGAATTAAAGGGAAACGAGTTGGAGCATCGCACTCATTGACCTCTCTGGCGTCGGCTCAGACTAGAAAAGCGCGCTCGAAAATGACATTGCTCGAAGCGAATCAACTGGTCGGCTACAATCCAATATATGCTCCAAAAGTTTGTCGGCGATCTCGCCAAACTCGAAATGACGCCTTGATTTCAGAGTCCAAGATACAGCGATTCGACTGTGTACGACAATTTGACATTGAGCAGCAAGCAGAGCCAACAGAATTTGAGCTCCTCATCGAATGCCTCGTCGAAATTATCGAGCTCTTTCGTCAGCGAATTGTCACGGGATGGATGGCAGGTGATCTCGTCGAAACCATCGGTAATTGAATTGGCGCATGTTCGAATCAATCAATTCGAATTGTTTGCAGAAAACCAAATCATTTGTCAAAGTCAATCTTGAAGATCTTTTCTGAGTTCTCTCTTTTTTTTTTCTCGCCTCACGAAAACGGCATTTTCCTAAACAATTAAATAAATTTGAAAAACACCTACATGTGATGAGCAGTTTTCGAGACATTTCGACTCTCATTTCAAAATGCTAATGGGACCCTCGCGACTCGATCGGAAATGCTTAGCAACCAACTAGAAAGACAAAAGCGAAACGGCGCATGTTTGATGTGCACTTCGCCCACTGCTCCACACAAAATCGTCCCAATTCGCCGCGAAACATGCCTAAAAAATCGACTCATTTTGGCTACGGAGCTCTTTTGCTCATCGCGTTCATTTTAACAATTGTTGCATTATTTACACCGGGATGGCGAAGTTATAAAGGTATTTCGAGAATAATTAAGTCAAAACAAAATTTTTCTTGAAACAAAAAACAGGCTCCGGTGCTCCCGATCTCGGGCTTGTTACGAGATATTGCGGAGATGGAAATCGACAAGTCAACGAATTCGATTGCCGAGCATGGCATAAGGTATTCAATTTTAAAAAAGCCAAGAAAAAACCAGTTTTGATTCAGAGTCAGCTTCCATTCGAAAAAGCTACACTGGGATTGGTCGTCATGGCATTGATCTTCGAATTCTTTTCGATTTGTATGATTCATAACAGATTATGCGTAATACATCGATTCAGGCTGCTTCTTCGGTTTGTTCTCATCTCGAGCTCAACTCGGCGTTCCCGCCTTGTCGACAACATTTTTGGCATTCGTTTGCATGCTAATCGCCATCATTGTGTACGGTGTTCGAATGCAGTATAAAATTGGTATTTTCGGAATTCATTTCACTCAAATTTATTGAAAATATTATCAGCTTACCTTCAATCAACGACTTTTGAGCTTCTGGCCAATGTATATTTGGGATACTCCTATTGGCTCGCCGTTATCGCCGCAATTTTCCTTTTCTTCGCCACCGGAGTAACCAGCGGCTTCTTGAAAAAACAAGGCGAAACACATTTACATTAAATATTATTTGATTTTTAAACTAAATACATATTTAACATGTAATTAATGGAAAATAATAATTATTATTACGATACTATACATGTTTTGGAGAAAAACTAAAAAAAAATACAGGCTTTCAGCATTGCTTTCGTTTTTTGAGATTTTCCAAAACTTGAATAGTAGAAAGCAATAATAATAATAATAAATATTAATTTGAAAAAAAAAAACATTATGCTTCCTATAATAAAGTTTTAATTAAAAATCAGCTAAAATGGCAAGCAAAAAAATGAAGAGGAAGGAACCAGGGCACACTATCACCGTAAATAAGCAAAGCTTTGTAACTGGTCATAATATCACAGTATTAATTATTGAAAATCCCAAATAAGGGGGAAAGAATGTAGACATAACTTATATATATATATAGGCTACAACCACAAAACACGGCAGAAGAACATTGAAAGTAGATGAAAGCATGAAGAGGCGGCTCATGCATCATGCATACCTCATCGGAGACTTGAAAAATCATCTGAATTATGTTGCCGATTAATAGTCAATTGAGCGATGGGTGCTGCTACCGCTATCCATATGACGAAGTCCGCCGATTGAGAATGCCCCTTTATCCGAATCTCCGGCTTCATTTTCTCCGTTTGGTGGAAAACCATTATTCGGCTTCTCACTATTGCTCGATTCCTGAAAAGTTGGGGATAATTATATAGAAAATAGGAAAATTCGTCATTTTAGATTTAAAAGAAAGGAAAATAGTAATAATACGTTCTACCTCGCATGAAATTTTAAGGAATATTTTTGGTGAATTTTAAAATAATTTTTTTCGGTTTTCTATTGTTGGCGGCGTGCGACGGCGGAAAATGAGTGAAATGTCAAAAAAAGAAAGCCTGGGGTCTCGGCGCGAAATAAAAATGTAGATTTACTGACCTATGTATTGTATTTGCGCGACGCCGAGGACACTTATGGAAAACTGAAAAAAAAAACCGACTACTTTTTTTATTGTTTGTGGTGAACCAATATAGTCTATCAAGAGTGCATTTTTAGAAATCTCACATAGCCTTTTCCTTCTAAGTGACCCGTAAGAATACAACCCTAAAAATCAATTTTATCCAGTTTTTGAATTTTTTACTCCAAAATCTACAAATGTAATTTTGTTAAACTTCTGAATGGATAAATCGCTCACGAATATTGTGTCTAAAATCGAAACCGAAACTTAATTTTTCCTTCAGATCTTTAGAATAATCAAGTTCGGTGATCTGAACATCTCGAAGTCTCCGCTCAATCTCATCCCCATTCAACACGAGTTTGTGTTGGCTTGGTGACGACATCGCACTATCCGAATTCGTATCAACCGTTGTAGTTTTCTCCTCTTTGATTGTTTGAAGTTCCGACTAAATTTCAACATGAAAATAAAACAGCAAAAAAAAAAAGAAATCTATGGAAACACCTCCTCATGCTCGACACTCTTCCTTCTCCGTTGTATTTTATGCTGAATTCCGTGTCCAACACTTTTCATTTTCGACTTCAAATCATGCAAATGATCCATTCCTAAAAACAAAAGTGATAGGCAAAAAAAAATGAATATTCAACTACCTTCTTCAACGAGCTCTCCAAATCGAGAATGCTCTTTCTCGCGGGATTCTTCTTGCACAGGAATGTCTTCTGGCATTCGACGCATACGAAGCGACGCATTTGTAACAAGTTCTTTGCGATTTGTAAGCGTCTGAACAATTGTTTTGTTTGGAAAAAAAACAATTGAAGCTCAAAATTATATACCTTTTGTTGTGGTCGAGTCCACATCAATTCATCTCGTTTTTCTTTGGAAAGTGGATTGTCAAGAAGCGAATTTCGAACTGAGTTCACCACCTGAAAAGCGTTTTTTGATGTTCTTTAAACGAATTCCATTTTGATCAAATTAATATTTCGTTTTGAATTGTATTTTTAGTTTCTAAATAGCTGAATGCTCACCAATAACACATCCGGCAAAATTTCGTATTGTGCCCTCAAATGAATTGAATCAATTGCCCGTAGCGCTAGGTCAGCATTTCCATTGAATAAAGCCAAATAACATCCTGATAGTAATTCGAGAAGAAGGCAACCCGCAATATGTTGGCGCGGTTTTCTGAAATTCATTTTCAATAATTAGAAATAATGATTATAAAATATTTGAGATACTTTGAATAATCTTCAATGACTTCTTGCGACATCTCACTATCCAACACCTTGTTTCTGAAACCGGTTTCAGGGAATGAGAATCCCGAACGACAAATCGACAAGGCGGCTAGACACATGTGTCGAGAGGCGACTTCAGAAGAAACGAGAAATAAAGATTGATTTACCTAAATAAGCAGCTAATAGGAATTTTTAACAATTTAAATAATTGAAGCCAAATCTAGATGTATTTCTTTAAAACAAAAATTTCTACTATAATTTTTAGTTTGGGCAATAGTGAAAAACTCACCGATTTCATTATCCGTGTAAGTATTATGAACTTATTTTCTCCAGTGAATTTTGCAATTGTTGGATACGGCCCAATTCGAACAGTGGTCTAAATTCGGGATAATTAACAACAAACGATTTGAGTTACCACTAATGATGATAAATTATTTGGTCTGATTAATGTTATTTCGGGATGAGTTTGGATTTTTGACGGATCATGGTATATACTTGGTTGTCGAATAGATGGAATTCGAATTTCTTCTACCTGAAAACGGCAATTTAGAAAATAAATTTGGCTCGCAATGAAACCTTTTTCATTTCCGAGTTCGGTTCGACAATTTCTTCATTATATAAAGCAATGAAGAATGTTTCGAACAATGATGCGCTCTTCTGCTGCTTTTTTGACAATGCTAGAATTTGAGCAATTAGAGAAGCATTTCACATCAAATTTTACCAAGCATATATAAAGAAACGAAGCATGGGATGAATTGAAGGGCGTATAATCGAAGTACACCTGAAATCATATAATACAAACATAAAACAATACAATTTGTTTATTAATTCAAACCTCCTTTGTAATAAAGTGCAAGGATTTGTCCGACAATGGATTGAATCAAATCGACATCTGTGTAGTTAGATGCAATGTAGTTTGCGGCGTATAAAGTATTCGTCGCCGACTAGAAAAAATTGTATTTGAAATGAAGTCTGATAGGCAAATACCATATTCAAGAATTTCTTACAATATTCAGCATCTTCTCGTTTTTCATGGTTCGCTGCAGCTTTTGCCAAATCCAATAGGAAATCAGACAATTGCTCGTTATTCATACCCGATCTATATTTCAATCAATCTAACCAAAAATATAGCATGGAAAAATATATTGCGTACAAACGATTTTTTTCGACAAACACCTTTAAAAAGATAATAAGAATTTTTCGGCTTGAAATTGTAGAGAAAACTCGAAATCTATGGGAAAACCGAAAATAATGGAAAATCTATTTACAATAAACAACGGGCGAGCGTCAACTGGAACAACGTTGCTTTACTAAAATTTCGATTTTTTTCGTTTGTTGCCTTTAACTCGATTATTAAGTCCAAAAATATGAAAATAGTTTTTTTTAATGGAACAATGTGGATTGTAGAAAAAAGTTCACCGAAAACCGTATGCAATTGCCGAAGAATACTTTTTTAAACTTGTTTTAACCGTGTTGAGTTTTTCTTCCAAATTTTGCATAATATTATAATAAATTATTTAAATGAACAGAATGTTTCACTGGGGTATGTATTCTCTAATGTATATCAGGAAATTTGAGAGAATTTTCTAACACTCGCGAATGTCTTGTTTGACTGCATTTCCGCCGCACAACCAAAGTACTCAATCATATAGGCAACCAAGAGTTTGCTTATCTACACGTTTATTGAATCAGACAATTTATTCATAAGCAACCAAACGATAAAACGTAAAAACAAATGCGAATGGAACAACAACATAGTATATTTTTCGTTTCCAATTATTGTAAACATAAATCATTTTCAAAGGTTTCTTTGAATATGCAAATATTTGTCTGTCTCTTAAATGGTCAATATCGTTGGCTAAAAATGTGCATTGTGTTTTCATCATAAAAAAAAATCGCGATTAAACTCACGATAAGGCGGGAATTCACTCAAATCGGTGCATATTTCTGCAAGATGATCAATAGCTTCTAAGCTCACATTTGGATTCGTCTTCTTATTAATTATAACGTAATATGTGTTTGTGAATTCTTTGAATCTTTTGATTTTCTGCCGAAATTCTGCAAGATGACATCGAAATCACTACCTAAATCGTTTTTAATTGATTCGTTTTTTGAATACCTTTAGTTCGTGCGTATTCAAAGAAAACATATTCAAAATTTGTGTTATTTTCGAAAATAATTTTCACGCTTTCTGGCTTCAATTTTTTGAAAATTATCATTTTTTCCGATCGATTATAAATGTGGATGATGGTGGAATGAGCATCTTCTATCGTATCGGTGAATTGCTTCATTTCGCTTATCGAAAATTTCTCCGTATAAATATCGACGGCTCCACTTGCTCGATTGGGTCTGCAACAAAAAAAAACAAACATTATTAGATTGTGTTTCTCATTTTTATACCCTTGTTCGGGAGCAACAATCGAATGACAATCGGAGAGTTGCGAAAAATTCCGAACACTTATAAATTCGTGATTAAAATAGCAAATTGAACTGTCTAAAAATTGATAAAATTCAAATAAAATTGCGACATTTTACCGTTTTCATTGGGCAATAATTCTAGACTCACAAATGGAAAAATTGAAATCAGAAACAATTGTAGAACTAATAAAGCCATTATAGAATGAAAAGAATGGAATTATTGAATTTCACGTGAATTTTTTCAAGCACTCTTGTCGAACAATTCCTCAATTTCTTATATTATCGAAGACATAAAGATGATTTCCGTGGGGCGGAGCCTAAAAATTTTAACGAGCCAATTTGGTTTTGCATTAATTAGGCTGCGTATCAAACATATGCAAGGCTACAGTATACATCAAAGGCGCATGTCAAAATTTGCGGTGTTTCTCGTGTTGGCGGTTTTTCGATCATTTAAACTAAATCGTATCACCGTTGCGGGACCCCAATCGTCGTTTGGGTACGTAATGGTCATAGTCGCGCTGGCCCAAATGACAAAGAGGCGGCTCGAAAATTTTACCTGCGTAATTCGGCTAGAAACTGATGGAATAAAAGCAACCAAAAGAAGAATTCAAGTCCGGAATAGTCGGCGTCCGGCAATTGATGCGCGAATCACGCTCATTTATTAAAATAAGCTTTCCGTGAATCTGAAATTCGTGCAAGCACTATCATGCAAATATGCACACTACCTAAGTATTTAACTATTTAGAAATATATTGTGGCCGTGGCCGTCACTCATTAGTGAGGACAATTTTTCTAGGCCACGCGTGCACGAGCCGTACATTTAATTGGGAAGTTATATCTGATAATTTGAGCTGACTTAGCGTTAAAGCTTCACCAAATTTTGAACATTTTTGAGGCCACTTTCAATCGATTCACAAAATTATGAAGCGGTTCTCAAAGCGCAATTAGTAGCAGCTGCGGACTCCGTAGAACGTGACAGACCGATTTTATTGTAATTTGCAAAAGCTGGGTCTACCCAAGAAACCATAATACGATAACAATATAACAGTAACAAGTGAAACGAATCCGACCAAATTTATTAATGAGTTGAAAGAGAGAAAATCATTTTCCAACTTGTTGAACGCTGTCCTTCGCCACCAAATTCTCCGTAGCCTTCGGTGGAATCGTCTCGCCGTTCGTCAAAATCGGTGTCGGACTCGAACTGCTCGCCAATGTCATTGCACTGTCTTTGGCGACTGGTGTTATTATCTCTGGCGGTGCTGTCACTTCACCATGAGAGAGTACCGTGTTCGAAGGATCGCGCTGAAATCGCCGATTCGATTGGTGACCACAAAAAACCAATCGCTGCCGATTTTTGGGATCAAACCTTTTCCTCCATTTAACGAATAATCAGATCAACTAGAAAATTCTAGAGATCTTGTCCGAATTCGATTAAAAGAATATCAAGAAATGAAAATGATTGGAGAAAATGTTCGAGACGTGAGTATCTCACGCCAAAATTGATTCTTACCGATGTTGGATATGGCGCGGCGCCAATGTGCACCATTGGCGCTCGTTTCGTTTTATTCGACAATTGAGTTGAGCAAATATCGAGCAGTGTGAGATTCGAAAACGACTTCATTGTTTTGAGCGTCGGATCCTTCTGAATTTATCTTTTTTTAGAATAATTCAAACATCGAAACCTCTGATTCAACTTTCAAATGGAATGCCAAAACTCGTTTCGTGATATTTTCAATCATTTTCTTATAATATTTGACAGTAGTCGGCTTGTTGTACAAATATGTCAAAAGTTGAGGTAATCGTCGAACATCGTATAATGGCTGAAAATAGCGATTAAGAAGTGCTCGGGTAAAAAAAAATCTCGAACTTTTGCAGAGATTTGAAGCATTTTTCATTTATAATTCAGAAACAAATATTTTTTAATTAAACAAAAAAGTTGAAATTTTGAAAAAAAAAAACATTTTGTCGACTTGGTATGCTTAAAAGTGATTCGAAATTTGCGCCGAAGTTACAAACCTCCATAGAGGAAAGAAAAAAGAACGAACATCTTCAGGTAGAATACCGCGTGCAATTTTTGTGGAAGCTTCAATCAGAATCCATCGAATTTTCATTTCATCGGCTCGTTCAGCCAATTTCCAAAGAATTTTGCGCTCCTGTTTGAGCTGCGAAAGAGCGTGATCCGACATTGATTTGATGCGCTGAATCTCGTCGAACTTCTGCGTCAATTTCACCAATCGGCCATGAAGTTCCATATAATCCGAATAGGTTTCATTTTTCGGCAAAGGCGTTTGACAATGGCTATTATAGCTGAAAATATTTTGTGCCTTCAAATTGCGTGGCTTCCAAGGGAACCTTTCAATGGTGTCGAAAAGAACGTTGAGGACTGCTTGAAGCTCCTCGTCCATTTTCTGGCCGCAAGTTGAAAATTTCGCGACATCATGCTCGACAAGAGCTTCCAACTAATCCACATAATTATTATTTAATTTTTCAAATCATGAGAAAACCTCATCGACAAAATTCGTGTCTTCATTGCGAAGATCCTGTGCAATTTTCATCAGCTCATCTAACTTCTTTAGTGATTTCTCGTGCCGATATGTCGCATATTTCAGCATATCCGTCTTGAAATTCGAATTCGATTTCATATTTTTAATGTCAAATTTACATCATTTTCCAATTGGCGCAACAATTTGCCGTCCACAGTATTATGTTTTTCCAAATTCCCATTTTCCGACATTATGCGTGATCAAATTGACTATTTTTAGCCGCTTACCACTTCGAATAAGATTTTTAAAAATGCCCATACCACTGCTCTATTTTCGTCTTATCAAATATCGAAATCAATTTAATTATTATTAGCACAAAAAAAAGAAAACACAACCCGTTCGGTGAACAACAAAAACCAGATATGACACAACCGAATATTTGAATAATCGATGAGAGCGTTGAGTGAGTATCATGTTTAGAAATGGCGAGAAAAGGCTAGAACGAAATAAGTACCGTAAATGGGGGGGGGTAACAACAATTTTGTTAACTGAAAATCCGTTTCCTAGAAGACATTCTGTTAACAAATGCAGAATATCGGCGAATTTAAACAAGGGCTGGAGGGGGAAGTTTCTTTTTTATCTCTTTCGCGATTCGTCGACGTTCGCTGTGGTTTCGAAGCCATGATTCGACACGAATTAACATGTGGCCGAACGTTTGACGATAGCGGGAACTCATTACGCAGTAGAGAAGGAAGTCGACACTGGAAAATGTGACAAAAATAGACATTTTCGATGGACGTGGACGATGATGGTGGTTGTTGTGAAACTTCGGCCACGGCCATTTAGTTATGGCTAGTGTTTCTTGTGATGCTTCGGCCTTTAACAACTACTGTGCGCAGGTAGATTTACGGAGTGGTCTCGAAACGAATTTATTTTTTTAAAATATGTATTGCAATTCAAAATACGAACACCCTGCGCCATCGAGTTTGATTCACAAATAATTATTCCTGGCACGATTCGAATTGTTTAAATTCAAATTTGAATTACCGCCTTGAAAAAAGTATGATGGCCAATGTTTTTTGTGATGTTTCGGCCTCTAACAACTACTGTGCGCCGGTAGATTTACGGAGTGGTCTCGACACAAATTTATTGTTTTAAAATATGTATTGCAATTCAACATAGGAGCACCCTGCGCCAAATTACATCGAGTTTGATTCACAAATATATTTATAATTATTCCTGGCACGATTCGAATTGTTTAAATTCAAATTTGAATTACCGCCTTGAAAAAAACGTGATGGTCCACAATTACGCATTGTGCTCGTTTTTTTCTTTCACGATGACGAAATTTCCCCGTGAATTTAAAAAATATTTTCTGAGTTTTTTCCTCAAATTTCTAATGCTTGAAAAAACATAGTTATCAAGCGAGTGTTCAAATTAACGAGTTTGTCAGCGCGAGGCACCTAGCGATTAATGATGTCTACCCGATTAAAACAATCGCCAGACGCCGAATATAAGACCCAATTTTGGAATATTGAATTACCTGCAGTTAACTAATGATAGAAAATCGAGAAGTTCGCCAACATTTCTATAAATGTATGTGTTCATGTCAGTCGTGTAAACCCCTGAAATCATTTTTATTAATTGCTTCAATTTCCTATTGTCGGCGTTGCGCGAATGCGGAAATTTTGGAAAAAAATTCAATCGGTCGGAACAAAAGTCGCACGCTAAATTGAGGGCGATGTGTAATTGGAGTGTCGTACTGGTAAGGTACAAAGTTTTTGGGAACTCCCATAGAACCCCAATGTTTAAACCAAAACCAAAATGTCAAAAAATTTAAAAAGAGGTCTCGGTGCGCGGTGAGAACCAATCCTTATACTTATGCTCGTAAATCGACACTCTTAGTTTTGCGTGAAGACCCCATTGGTTTTTTTTGGCATTTAGCCAACTTTCCGTAGTCGCCACGACGCGCAAAAAAAATAATTATAGGTTTCATTTTTTTCAAATTTTGAATTGCGCTCACATTTTTTTCCATTTCAGTCCCAAAAGTTTAATGAAAATCATTAAAAAAAATATATAAATCGATAGCATTCGCTGAAATAATATTCCGTAATCGCTCGACGCCGACATTAATATAATCGATACCGTTTAGAAGCGCGAGAAATCCTTGCGGCAATTCGGTGACTAGAAACACAACCAGCATGATAATCAACATGTATGTCGTGCGATCGGGAACCTGAAAATCATTGAGTTCCCCCCTTCGCATTTTGCTTCAATAATCGCTCGATACCGTCGTCTTTTTGATATGTTTTCGGAAGCTCTTCGAATACAAATAATTGCGTTTCTCATCGGTTTGTCGCAATTTCAACACCAATGCAATTGTGAACCATAAGAGTAGAACGCACGGAATTGCCTGCAAAACGAAACGAGGAAAAAAAATAATAATCGAAAGAAAAATGATAGAACCTTAAGTACAATTGCAACGAGCCACAAATTGAATTTGAAAAACGCGCATGAGTATTGCGAGAAATTCAAACTATAATATTCATCGGCGGAAACTTGAATTGTTTGACGGCCGAGCGCAAGCATATCGGTGAGAATTGTCGTCGTTTCAACGCCTGCAAATTTTCAGATGAGAGCGATTTTGAAATATCGCAAATTCAATATACTGGTCGTCTCGAGCTTGAAAATCTCGTGAAGGAAGAGTGTTGGCAGGCAGATGACGGTGATCGCACAAGTGATCACACCGAACAATCTCCTGCAATGTTCAATAATGATTGATGGCCAAATCGAACACTGCTGAGTATTGCTTGTTTCAAACAAACAAATTCCGGGTGCCTTTGGCCCCTCTCATTATTCGCTTATAGTAGGAACTGAAATTTTGGTCTAATTGGTTGTCCAAACATCAAGAAACTCCTTCTTTTTCTCTTTTCCGTTCTTGCAATTCATATTCAATCGAAAATTCTCTTTCGTTTTGCCATCAATTCCCATTCCCCCCCCTTGCAAATGTTTTACATTTCTTTTTGTGTCATCCCAAAATAGGCACTGACCACGCATTGAGCGGCTGCAGCCATTTGCTATGGATATTGCCGAGCGCTTGCCATCGAATGAATGCCAACACTGCGCCCATGTAGAGTGTGATGGCGTGAAGAGTCATCGAAGAAACCACGTGGAACTTCAGAAATACCATCCACGAATATGAATATCCTTCATCATCCTTTAAACAATATCATTCAATTTTCGGATTTTAATGGGATTATCCCACCTGATAAAATCTGAACCTCAACAAATACGTCGCGTATGAGAGCATTGTTATTACGTCGCACATGGCTACTGCTGTCAGCACACAATTCACCGCGCTACTTCTCATTCGAGGTCTTGAAAGAACCAATATGTGGATGATGTTTGATACGACACCAATGAAGCAGATAATGAGGCACGCATAGCGATGGAAAACTGTGTAGACGCTGAAAAATGATTATGAAAAAGTGCAAAAAAGAATGCTCCCGGTGAGGCTCGAACTCACGACCTTCAGATTATGAGACTGACGCGCTGCCGACTGCGCTACGGAAGCACGCTGTGCCCCCGGCGGAACGGCAGTTATAAAGAGTAATGCAGAAGGGAAAGGCAGCGACAGTTTGCAGGGTAGTCGATTCGTGGGAAAACGCAAATGAAAACTGACCTATTGAATTGTTCCAATGAATAAATGAATGCCGAAACACTCGGGTCTTCTGGGTCGAACAATGATCCGGCCTCATCATGGCACGTACCACCTGAAAACACAAATCAGCTTGAAATGATTCTTACTCGAATTCAAATGAGTCGTCGAGGATTTCATTTCTTTTAAGCAAACTTGAAAGCGCTTAAGCGAACGACTTAAGTCTGAACCCAATATTTCCCACGCTAAATATTCATCGAAAAGGACATCGGACTTATATGGAATTGGTCGGATGAAAAAATGTTTGGGCTTCGAAATGAGGAAATACTCAATTTTGGCATTTCGGGGTACAAACGATCAAATACAAAGTTTAACAGTTTGTATCGCAAAAAATTGAACGAGAAACATGAATTCACAAAGAAAAAGAATCCGAGCTCAACTAAACACGATGCATTGATTCAATTCGAGATTTTTTCTTTTTGAAAAATAAAATTCACGTCAATTCGATAGGTAATAAAAGGAATTAACGAGTTTGGATTTGTGAGCAAAGAAACATCATATTTGAACACTCGGCTCGAGATTTTTAATCTATTAAGGTCTTGTATTGAAATTTTTCGAATGGGATTTGAGAAACGGCTCGTATTGTGAACCTGATCGAATAATCTTATCGACCAAGACCGTCTCTAATTTCCTTATTCTGATAATTTCCGATACGACAAGATTTACGCGAGATTTGTGGTCGAATGTAAATTTGAGACAAACAATGTCTGATTATTATTATTATTATTATTATTATATTTTATAGAATATTGAGTTCAAATTTTTGTCGAAAACATTTTGACTGGAAGTTCTCAACGTGGTCAACAAAATTTAGAAAGGCTTCGATTTTAAATTACGGGATTCACTTGAAAATCCCAATGTGAACTACTAAATCATCGTAATCACAAATGACACATTTGCACGGCCGTCAGAAGGCGCGGCCTCGAATTGGTTTCAGCGGCCACGGCCACGGCACAAAAAGTAGTGGCAGGTATAAATTTAAATAATGAATATTGGGATGAATTGAATCTATTCAATCCTCTATTTATTGTCATCGCAAAAAAACCGAGCATTTTGATTTTCATCGGACCATTTAATGATTTCCTCGAGAAATTCTAAATTTGGATTAAAACTGTGGAAATCATTGGTCTGCACATCAAACTTACTGTAATTGGGCTCTCGTCTGTGTTTTTGCAATGGAAACATTTCCAAAAAAATGGTTGTATGCGAGCAAACAACATTTATAACAAAGGTCTCTTAATTCGATTTGCACATAATAGGCAATAATGATTGAATCAGAGGCATGAGACCGGATGCGCCGAAACATTATGTTCTCCTACTTTCATTTTCTTCCAATATTGACGTTCTAATGAATATGGAAATGAGGCGGAGTTGGCTGTTAAATTATGCACAAAAATCCAACTAGGAAGAGAAAATGATCAAACATTCATTTTTTTTTCGCAAGGGAACAAATTATGAAATCGAATTTTTAATTTTTGGATTTGGCAGTAAATAGAAATACGTTTCGGTACGCAGAATGCGATTTTTTCCATACGATTTTATAAATTGTTGTAATTTCACTACAATCCCGATTATTTTTATAAATATTTTGCGTTTAAATTTCACATAAAAATATTATATTTTTAAATAAATTCTATTTTTCGCAATATGAATCACAGATACTAATGCGAATTAGGCAAAATTCTTGCAAAAAATACAAAAATTTTGTGCTGATACGGTAGCCAGTTCGGTGTACTGCGTACCAAACGCAGGAACATACGACACTTGGATTTTTTTGTGATTTCCAAACAATGAAAATTTATTTCGATTTTTGGCTTTCAAACGAATATTTTGAAATGATTTTTGTAAAAAAAAAGCGTTTATTTTTGTTGATTTTCTAATTTCAAGGTCGCGGGAATTCGGCAAATAACCAAAATGGCAGCGGTCTTAGTGCAAATCTAAAAGTGTAAATTTACGGACCATAAAAGAATAGGATACCTAGTATTTTCTTGGAATTTAGCCAATTTTGCCTAATCGATAAACATTTTTTTTCTAGCGAAAAAATTGTTTTCAAACTCTCCGAACATTTAGTTTGAGCATAAATATTTTTTGAAAGTTCGAAGAAAAAAAACGTTCACAAACATTGATTATTAACATACATTTGTCGCATATGTCTCATCGCGTGAGAATTCAAGAAGATTTTCTCGTTTCTCAGAAAATAATTTTGCAGCGGGGAAAATTGCTCAAAAAATATCATACACGCATATTTATTACACCAATTTTTGGTTTTTCGATTTTATTTTTAAAGATATTCAGTCGGGATCCTCCCGACGGTTTTACATTTAATTGAGAAATTGGCAAAATCTGAATTTAAAAAAATTTGGTACAATTTTTTTTCCAAATCACCAAATCAAAAAAATGAATTTTGTGAAAACGGAATATTCATCGACAAATGTTCATTTTCAAAAAAAATGGAGGGTTGAAGAGAAGAAGAAGAAGAAGAAGAGGAGGAGGAGCTTCATTTCTTCTTTTTTTTAACCCGCAAAGCGTCCGCAGCACTTTGATTTCATTTTTGCAACATTCATTAAAACAAAAGTTAAAATATGACTGATCGAGGTGAAGGCGCAGCTCCGGAATTTCGGAATTCCGAGACAGACAAAAAAGTAAAGTTCACGTGTTTGATAAAATCACGAAAACGCTAGTACTCCATTAAATTATTCAAAAGATTCGGACTATAGTGTATTTTTTCCAAATTTCTTTTTTTGCAAAATGCTCTGAGACTAATTGGTAATAGATAAATTGCAGTGTTCTCAAATAAAGTGCGACAAAATGAGTTGGGGAAATTCAAAAAAAACCCCGATTGACCTCCAAAATAAATATGGGCAGCAGAAAAACAAAATGAAATGATGGGACTTCCCTATTTGGCTTTATTATTTGAAATCTGATATTCGACGATAATGAAGAAGAAAGCGAGAGCAACGGCGTCAATGAAAAGTTTTTTTTTCGTTTTTGATGAGCTCAAAACACACAAAACAATAGAACGCTTTCGATTGAAAAAAAGAATTGAGATTTTCTTTTTTTTTTTTGAATTGATCATCTTGTCAGAAATTGAATTTTCGATGAAAATCGGAGATCATCATTTGAACACATTTAAAATAGAAGAATCTTGTGAGCTCAATCACATTTCGTTTTTCACTCTTTTTTTTTTAAATTGAATGCAAAAAGACAATAAATGGTCAAAAATTTTGAGAAAAAAAACGTAAGAGGAGCAAAACTTTTAAAAATTGGTCTCACCAATCATCGAAATAATTTGAAATAAAGCGTCATAGATTAATTATTCAAAAGAAATCGCAATGATTTCGAAAGGGGCGGGATTCATTGGCTCAAAGCTCAAAAAACGGCTTGTAGCTCGACTGAAGGACGACAAATTAAAAACGAAAAAAGTTGGATGCAAACAGACGTTTTTGCAATTTCGCGAAACCAACATTGAAGACGTTGAGATGAGGCGAATTCGTCCTTCAACGAAAAAGAAAAAATATATATATTTGCTCTTGATCCGATTTCCATTCTTCAGATTTTTCCGCATTATTAATAGCTGAGACCAACGACGAGCCTTCATAAACATGAGCCTGACGGAATCCGGAAGAAGAGCAACAGCAAACTATGCACAACGAGACTTGAAGGGTTTCCGCTTCCTCTTCTTTGAATATTCGAATAAGAGCAATAAGAGAGCACTTGATGTCAATCCTATTTTAAGGAAAATGAAAAATGGGGTGGAGGGGGAGTCGAATTCGATTGAATTCATTTCGTCACCGAGTGCTAGCAAAATTATTCAAATTGCCGCTGTGCAAAAAATATTCCTCAATGAGATTATGCGATGATCATTCTAATAAGGATTCATACTGAACGTCTGGTGAAACTCATATCACCCTCCTTTAAAACAATTGTTTGATGGGTGTTGGTGTTCGGTGTTTGCGGACATTGAAGAAAATAAATGGTAGAAAATGTGTGCAAACACCGCGACGCAAACATCACAGAAAACCCCCAAAAAAAACACAGATTTTTTCGTATCCAAATTGAGTAATTTAGTGTCCTTTAATTATAAAGAAAATCAAAATTAATGTAGAGAATGAGAATAGAAAAAATTCCATGAATGCAATCGACTTACTTCGCATCGCAATTTTTTCAGTTTGGAATTCGAAAATGGCGGAAAATTCAGAATAGAAAATTTCAGATCAAAAACGGAATGTTGACAGCAAAGAAATTTAAAACGAAACGGAATAATTGGCGAAGAGCCAAATTTAGATTCAATTTATAGCGATAATCTGTCATCAAGTCTCAAAATGTGATCATAATCGCTTGAACTTATCCCAGCATTTCGTCATGTGTGGCGAATTACGTGCCATTTAACAATCAACTTTTCTTGTGACGTTTTTCTACTGTAATTTTAGGGCAATTAGCGCTTATGAGATCAAATGAAACCAATAATGACTTGTCATATCTGAAGCCGATAGCCGGTTTTTCGAAACATTTTGATTTCTGAAGTTTGAGTTGAGGTCCAAATTTGATGCTAATCCGATTAAATAAAAATTGAAATGTGTTTGGTGATGTATGGTGCAATAAATTGGTGGAAATCGAATCGAAAAACCAATGAGTAACACTCTTGAGAATCTTCGGAATCCACTCGGCCACAATTTTGTTTCACTGGGACACCCCCCCCCCTTCTTCTTCTTCTAGACGTTCAAAGAGCGTAAAGAGGCCAATAAATCGGATTTGGAAGGAAACCCCCCCTTTAAAAAAAAGAAGAAGTTGGAATACCGAAATCGGGGGAATTGAGAAATGATGGGCTGATGAGATCGCTTATATCCGGCACATTTTCGAAATTGATTTTTTCATTCGTCGAGCAACTGTTTCCGAGCTTCTCGCTGATAAATGAAAGTTGAAATGAAATTTATGTTGTCAAATTGGCGCACGTCTCAACAATTATTGATGGGACCCACGTGAGTCGTATCAAACACTTGAGAAGAATGGTCCGGTCACATTGATTAATACATATATTAGTTTTGTGAACTTCATTAGAAAAATTAAAATAAACCATGGTTTTGAAGGAGACTTTTTATGGCGAGCCTAATTTTTTCAATATTTGGACAAAATGGTTCGATCTATAAGATCACTCTCAAGTAATGGTGACCAATTACTACAAACTTTTATAATTAAATAATTGGATAGTCAAATTGAATGAGCACTATTGAAAAATAGGGGGAAGATGCCTTCCCCCAGGCTTCTAAAAACGCTGTCACGC